TACTTGGAGTTTGTAAAACAATAATGACATCATAAATATTACCCAATGTCATATGTCTGTATTACACTTCTAACAGCCAATTAAGATCCTATTTTCTAATTATTATATACTATAATATAATTATGCTAATAACTAATAATAAATATAATGTAATATATAATAATAAATATATAATAACTACTAATAATTATAATATACTATGCTATGCTAAAAATTTACTTTGTAATAATACTTGTAACTTATGTCATATTAGCATAACTGAAAGGTCTAAACACTTGTACAATATTATACAAAAGTATACAAACTGGTACCAGGCAGTATGAACCCAAAATAAGTTCTTAAAAAATTATATAAATCACAGGAACCAGATAGAAAGACAAAAGTTTACTTAAAAGATCCAAGTAGAGAAATAACCCAAACTTTCAATAGTGCTACTGTAAAAACTAGATCTATGAAACAGAGCTAGAATTTGTAAAACTAAGTAAATATATTGGTCTTTAAGAAAGAACTAGATGAACCAATCAGGCCACCAGAATTTCCAGATTTTAAAGAAAAAAATACATACTGGTAAATATGTAAACTAGAGATATAGTTATAGTCTATCTTTCCAGACTATCTGGAATAGCAGTTTGGTGTAACTTGAATTAAATACCAAAGTAATAAGGATATGTTGTAAAGTTAATATCAGGATTGAAGTAAACTTTACAAGAGCATAGCAGTTTAATAATATGCCCTAATTGCCAATGTTGGTTTCAGTCATAGCAATATCAGGTTAGCTATAAGAATAAGATACAGAAGATTCTGAAAAATTTAGTACAAGATCAAAGATTTCAAAGAACTACTTTAAAAACTTAGTGACCATGGCATATTTTCATCAGTATTGTCCAAGGTCATTGGTAGACAGAAGTAGATAGGTGAATATGAAAACTAGAATAGTTAAATAAGAAACCTACAAGCAGGTTCTAAGTATAATAACTAGTATAGAACCTTCAGATGAACTACTTAAATTAGACAATAACTAAAGTTATATAAATAACTAATTGTACACTTCTTCTATAATTGCTTTTTGTAGTTGTAATGCAACTATTAGCCAAATATACTATCAATAAAATCTTAGATTACAAGTACTTACTTTAATATTTAAAAAAAAAAAATCAATATGTGAAAATGATCTAATAAAGTAATTAGGCTGTTAATCCTCCAAATAGTAGTTTGAATATTCAAATTTTATTAATAACAAAAATTATCTATATAATATTTATATTATAGCAACTGTTATTAATAATTGAGTTAGAATATCTATAATAATAGTTACACTAATATGACTAGCAAGTTATAAAACATTTATATAAGTATACATTATACAAAAAAATACAAACTAACAATCAGATAATATAAATACTAGATAAGTTTTGTAGTTATATAAATCTGTTGAAATTAGATAACAAGAAGTTCATTTGAAAAGATCTAAATAAAGAAATAACTGGATCTTTGATAACTTTATTATAAAAGCTAATTCAAGAAAACAGATAGCAAGGTTATAATATTTAGACTAACAAGAATCTTCAGATTGGAAGTTTTAAAGATACTACCAATCAGACTATTAGAATAAACTAGAAAAAAAAATATTAAACTAATCTAATATACTGATAAATTAATTATAATTCTATACAGACTATCTGGATTAGAAGTTTAGTAAAAAGACAGAAGTATACTAAAGTATAGAAGTTATATTATAAAGTAAATTCTAAGGTTTGAGTGAACTTTACAAGAATATAGTGATTAAATAATATAATTCTAACTGTAAGTATTAGTTCTGCTATAGCAATATTAGATTAATTGTAAAAATAAGTACAAAAGACTTTAGAAGATTTATCTTAAGAATAAAATAGTTCTAAGATTAAGGTGATAATCTAAATATCTGAGTATATTCCAGTAATATTAGTACAGATTATAAGTTTAGAGAATTTAAAATAAAACATTCAAACAAAAATGTTAAGTATAACAATTAATAAAAAACCTTTAAACAAACTATTTAAATAAGTAATATAGAAAAGTTATATGTATAGTCAATTGTATACTCTTTTGTAGTAGTTTATTGAATTATATTACCAAAAAAAGTTATTAAAAAAATCAAAAAATCAAAGAGATTATCTTAATATTAAAAAAAAAATCAATATATATTAATTAAAGATAAGGATAATATAAATTATTTTTAATAATAATTATATAGCAAATTGTATAATATTATATGATTTACATATAAAATTTTATATATATTACACAAATTTTTTATATAAATCTTGTGTGATCTAAGAAATTTATAAGCTAATTTAAGATGAAATATGGTAACCTAATAAAGTGAATAGGTTGTTAACTTTCAAGTAACAGGTCTAAGGTTTAATTCTTACAAATAATGAATTTTGAAAATTATATCTGTGTTATAGTAATTGTTTCTTGCTAATTGGTTAGACTTTGGATATCTGTAATCTTAAATACATCAAGTCAGATCCTATCTAATATTGGAAGCTCAGAGCATTGATATAAAGTATAACATTATATGTATATAGAGAAATGTAAAAAACTGATGTCATATAAGGCTTCAGTGCAAATCTGTAATAAGACTGCTAGATGTAAAAGGCTAAGAAACCAAGAAGACAAAAATTTACTTAAAAATCTTAAGTAAAGAAGTAGCACAAACTTTTAATGATACTATTGGACTAATAGAAGTCCATGAAACATCTTTATAGAAACTATCAGATAAACCAGATGACAAAAATGTGTAGAAGAATATATAACCAACTAGGCTACTGAAATTACTAAAAGAAAAAAATATATAAGTATACTATATTAAGCTATCTGGATTGAAAGTCTGAGAAATCAATTAGTTCTGAGTTGTGACTAATAAAAAATGATAAAGAAAAAATTAAAAAGATAAATATTAGAATTTGGATAAATTTTACAAAAGTAATAGTAGTTTAATAAATAATCTTAACTGCAAGTATTGATCTTAGTTATAATATCAAACTAGATTAATGATAAAAAGAAATATAGCTTATTCTGATAGGTTTGCTTTAAAGATAAAAATAGTCTAAGAATTATAGTTTTATAGTTAAAAACAAATAAATCTGAGTTTATGACCTGATAAAATTAATACTAAGATCAAATTAAAAGGTTTAAATAAAACATCTAAGCAAGAATATTTGATATGACAACTGATAAAGAACTTTTAGACAAACTTCTTAAATAGATAATATAGAAAAGTTACATATATACTAGCTGTATACTTATCTAATAGTTCAATATAAATACATCTATATAAAACATGTACTTGACATAAATATTAATAAAAAACTAGGACCAAAGAGGTTGCCTTAATACCAAAAATAAAAAATAAACTAATCTAAGAAAACTTAATAATATATAAAATAATTTTTATTTAAATAAAATAAATTATAAAATTTTATTAAAATAATATACTATTAAATTTTGATAACAATTGAATATAATACTAAAAAGTTTTCAGTTTAGATCGCAGATAAAACTGTCTGAACTTTAATTCTTACATGTAATTTTTATTTTGTAGTTTACAATCTTAGTATATCTTAGTATATAGTATATTAATATGTACAACTAAAATTACTAATAAAGATATGAGCAAGGCCTCACCTTAATACCAAAAAAAAATACTAAAAAGTTTTATTAGTAATATTTTTTTTATACAAAAAAATTTATTTGCTAAAAAAAATCATATAACAAATGATTTACCTTTAAATAATTTATACTAATTAAAATAAAAGTAATAAAACCTTATGTTAGAGTTAGGGTTGTGTTCAAAAAAGATCTTATTTTGTACCAAAATTTTATGACGAATCTTTTTTGTTAGTGCGCAGAAGACGGTTTCGTAGAGAGTTGATTATCAGAAGAGATTTGATTGGTGCATCTACATCGATCCTACTTGTTTTGATTTTTTGCGAAATTTTTTAGAGTGGTTGATTATCTACACAACTATAGTTTGTACTCCCGTATGTATGTACCACTTTGCTGCAGCATAGGATTCATAGAATTATCTAAATTAAGTAATTTTGGCCAATAACTATTCTCAGAACCGCACGATAATCGTTATAAATCTTCCTACAATCTCATAATTGAGATTCAATTCTTTACTTTTGCTCTTTAAAATAATTGAATCTAAGTCAAAAAGAATTCTGGTAATAATAAAATATCAGAAAAAAAAAATCAAAACAAAAAAAGGAAATAAGAAAATCGCTTGTCAATTATCGATATAGATTACTTAATAAATATTTGTAACTTAATTGCTATATCTTTCGCTTTTTATCTCTGCATCAAAATGAGAGTACAATTCTCGACAAGAGATGTACTCATAAGAAATGTCGGTGATTATGATGTAAAAATAATAGTTGGTGAAGAAGGTTCTTCTAAAGAATTTTTAGGGCATACGGTCATTTTACGTACACGTTGCGAGTACTTCAAAATAGCATTATCAAGTACTTGGGCTACCTCGGAAGACGGTGTAAAGGTGTTTGTGAAACCTAATATTCACCCATTGGTTTTTGAGGCTATTATCGGGTACTTTCATACGATGAATCATGTGTTATATGGCTATATATTAACTTATGTTTAATTATATAGATATATATATTCTGGTGAACTCGATTTCACTGAGCAAGATTGTGTTTCAGACATTTATGACCTCCTGATAGCTTGTGACGAGTTAATGCTACATGAAGTAAGTATTGTTAATTTCTTGTCCCAATAACTGCAATATGTGGTACTTATGCCCATCATTCAATACTATGTATTTATCTACAAATTGAATTCCTTCGTATGGAGCTCGCAGATAATATACAAGGTTCATTTTTTCAATTCATAATTCGATTCTAGCGATATATATATATATAGATTTTTTTTGAAAATTTAGCTTTTAATATTTATGTTTTGTGGACATTGGACAGAGCATCTTATTCAAAAACATTCAGAATGGTTCACTGAAAATTTAATTTCCATTCTCCGATGTACTTGGTTAATTCCTACTTGCAACAAAATCAAACAACATTGCTTTGAAAAAATCTGTGACGATCCATGGTTGTTATTCGCTTCAGATCAATTTTATCATGTCGAAGAAGATATACTGGTCACTGTCTTGGAACGTGAAGACTTAAATTTGCCCGAAGTATATATTTGGAATAATGTTATTAAGTGGGCTAAAGGACAACTTAGTGTTGGACTGGACCCGGATGTTTCAAGATGGTCTTCAACTGATTTTTCACTATTGGAAGAAAGGATGCGTAACTGTCTTCCACGTATTAGAATGAACAATATTGACATGGAGGAATATTATCATAATGTTAGACCATTCAAAAAGATATTCTCACTAGAAATTCAAGAAAGGATTGAGGAATACTATTTTACTGGAAGGAAACTAGACATATCTTTTCATCCTCGTCTGCCATTTATCATTGATTCTTGTTTGATTAATTACAAACACGCAGCATTGTTTGCTCATTGGATCAACCGTAAAGAGGGCAAGTTAGTCACTCGTGAAAAGAATCCTTTCAATTTTCGGCTTTTAATTCGTGGTAGTGATCATGGGTTTTGTGGAGAGGTTTTTGACAGAATTAGATTTGAGTATCCCGCGTTGTTAGTTTTAATCCTTACAGAAAGCGAAGAAATGATTGGTGGATATCAAAGAATTAACAGCAATTATTGGAAAATGTTTGGATATGATTACGATCGAGATAGTTTCTTATTCAGAATTAATAGAGCGGATCTTAAAAGATCAATGATCAGTAGAGTTATACAGCCCAACTATGCTGTGTATAATCATAATGGATGGGGACCATGTTTCGGAGATGGTGATTTATGGCTGAGAAGGCATTTTAGAGAAGCAGGCGAATGTAATTGCAAGAAGTCTTCATATGAATTTCAGGTAACCCTCGAAGAATCGTTCTTGGTAAAAGAGTATGAAATATTTGAAGTAACAACTCTTTGACTATGGTTATGACATACTGAAGGTGGGTAATAAATATAGTTTTTTTTTTTTTTTTTTTTAACGTGTTTAGTGCTAAAATATTCTTCATTCCGATTTGCCATTTTCCGGTTCAATGAATCGATGTATAAGTGTGTTTTACGCATTGTCACGGATTTTGATTGCCAAACTGTTCAAATTTGGAAAATTTGGAATGTGCCAAAATGATTACGCATCAATGATTTGGTCTTTTTTTGACTGCTTATCAGAAAAATTTTACGCTAATATTGAATTGGTTTGAAATATCGGAAGAAATTATTTGTATGTTATTTATAGTTTTGTTAAATTGATCACTATTCAACTTGGTATTTATTTGGTTATTTCATTTTTGTGCATAATTATTTATTGAATAAATCTAAATTTTTATACCAAAATTGGGGATTTCTATTTGTACCCGTGGGTGTATAAGAAAAAAAAATATATAAAAATCGGTAATATTTCAAAATGTTATTAGGAAAAGTGGTGTAGATGTCTTAAGTAAAAATATTCGGCCAGCTCCTCCCAATTTTACATATAAATTCACTTTTAACTCTAATTTATCTTACCTTAACCTATATATATATATATTCTTATACCGGGCATCAGGACTACCGAATAATTGATTGTGGAGGTAATTATTTGACCTTGATTGATGGCGCAGTCACAGAAAGCAATTAATTGCAATTTTTATGCCGCGGTGTGAAACGTGATGATTTGATAATATAAATACGTGTAAATGTATAATAATATAAATACGTGTAAATGTATTTGCTGATTTTGACGTCAAGAAAGTTGACAAAAATCAGGTGATTTTTTTAGAGGATAAAAAAAATCAGGTGATTAATGACATTGTCCTAACATAAAACATAACTAACCTTATAAGTGAAATTGCATAAAAAAAATCATGCAATAAAGTAATTTCAAATAACTTGTAAAATTTACAATTATACAACTATTACAATATTAATTTACTTTTGTGACGGATTAAAATGAAATTAGATTAAAATAAAATAAGTAATAATGTCAAATAGACAAGCTATTAAAAAATACAAAATTTTAAAGGCATTTTTTTTATTATTTTTTTTAGGGTTAGGATTAGTGTTTAGAGGTAAATTTTATAATAAACAAGTATAAGTGGGTTTTAGAAGGTCAAATAGAAATTCTTTATTTTATTTTGATCTGATTTTATTATGATTAGTGACAATACTTACTTTTTTTTAAAATATAAATATTAATATTATAAGTTTTTTTAAAAATCAGTTCTAATAAGCATTAAAGTTTTAATATATACAGATTTTTTATAGCTGTAAATGATAGCAAATATTAATGTAATTTATTTTCTTTCAGATTACAACTAATAACTTAAAAAAAAAACAAGTTATACAAATTTAATGAATTATTTAAATGAAAAGCATAAAAATTTTAAGTTTATTTATTAAAATTTGAATATATTTAACTATATTTAATGTTTTTAATTAGATGAGTTTTATTATAAAATATTAATTACCAAAGAATAGCAATTTTAGTATAATAGTTGAGTTATTATTCTTCAAATAACAGATCTAGTACTTAAATCTTACTTATAATGAAATTTGGAAATTATATTTGTATTATAATAACTGTTTTTTAATAATTAGTTAAATTTATAAATCTGTAATCTTAGATGTACTAAGTTGAATCTTATTTACTGTTAGAAGCTTAGAGTATTTATATAAAGTATAATGTTACATGTATATAGAAAAATATTAATATTTAATATTGTATAAAACTTTGATACAAACTTATTTTTTTTTTTTTTTTAGTATTAAGGTGACCTCTTTGGTCTTTTGACTTTTATTAATCACTTGTCGGTATTGTGGT